GGAAATCTATATTTAGTAATAATAGTATTAAGATCAGGCTCCAAGAGTTGAAAAATACTGGCCTATAACTGACATAGATTTCATGTTTCATGTTTGCTTGCTGCTCAGAGACTTCAGGATCCTGTAGTGTTTTATTTGTTTCTGGAGGTTTCTCAAAAGCTTTGGAAGTGGATTTAAAGTGGGTTATAGATAAAGAAGACAGGGAATCTCTCCAGGAGGAGATTTGGTATAAACAGTTGGATGGTGAAAATATGCACAGTGCAATTGCCAGTTTTGTGCTAACAGAAACTGTAGTGCAGAAAGTAATTTTCCCTCTGGGCTGATACCACAGTATGACCACTTTCTCCTTCTGTTTCATCATTAGAACTATCAGCTGTTGTACAAGATTTTTATCTTTGCTTTCTGTTTGTTTGCCTGTCAATTCATACCACATACAGTTGCATGTTTCAGAAGTTGCTGCTCCAACTGCTGCTCCTCCCCTCGCTCTTGCTGGATGTCACACCACCTTGTCCTTCTGAGCCTCTGGTTGCTTATTTAATTTATCTGTCACTGTCTTTTGGTGTGAATCATGCTGTTTGTGTATAATGCGTTGTGTTTTCTCTCTTCCCCCCACCTCTCTCTCAAAGAAAGCTGAAACAAGTTTGGGAGCAGCTGGGCTCATGCTCATACTTGTAGCCTTGTGTATCCATGCTGCTTTCCTAGATAGCACTTTTTAAATAAACTGCTTGTCGGTGGTGGCTTTTAGTGCCCAGTTTTGTGAGTTGCTTTGCTGTGTTTGTAAGAAGCCAAGCAGTGTTGCCAAGTCTGCTCTAGCTTCTTGTCCAGAAGAGCTCCAGCACTACACATGGTGGTGATAGCTGGTGGTTTTGAACGTACTTGCTTTATTGAGCTATATATATTTACTTTGGAACAGGTCTGGCACCAAAAGCCTGTCTTTTGCTTTTACCTTCCAGTTCTTGAAAAATGCCATTTATATATTTAATTTCAGGATCAAGTTGAATGGCAAAATATGTCATGCTGAGAAAATGGGAACTTTGAAAAGCAGAAATATGTTTCTGCCTTATCCAGAGGCTTTCATTCAAGAGCCAAATTCTTGTGGAATATAAATGGAAATTTTATAAACTTTGTAGTTTTACACTTTTTACTACAGTGAAGTACTGCCTTCCTAATGTGCTGGGCTTTGGCTGCATGCTTAACTGTATAAATGAAATTATTATTAGCCTTTCTGTGAAGTGACATAGCTGTTTTGGGAGGAATGATTGCTGTTTCCTGTCCTGCTGAACATATATGTAGCTTTACATTCTAAATCCGAATCACAGATCCTAGCAGTGTGATGTAAGTAGCATCGTTCTGTCATGTGGGAAAAACCTGCACTTTTCTCTGAGAAAATGGTATGTGGTATTTGCTCCCTAACTTAAATATGCACTAAGTAATGAGTCCAGAGTAAACTTATTCTAGGGTTGGTGTATAATTATACTACAGGTGTGGTTTCAAAAATAAGAATATTTCCATTGTGCAACTTAGGTTCAGATTAAGTTGATAGTATAGATCCAGCGTTATTTGATAGTAAGAACAAGCTGTATGATGTAACAGAGCTGTGCAGGAGACTTGCCTGTAAAGTGACTAGCATCTTCAGACCCTTTCTTGCAGAAGTGAGGCCCAGTCGTGATACACACTACTCTCTTAAGTGGCACAGACTTGCTCTTTTGCTGGCACTCTGTGTAAGAGAAAGCAGGAATTGATCAAATAGGTTACCATAGTATCCTGAGAAATGTGAAACCCTCTAATAAGGAAGATAGCTGGAAAGATTGGTTTCAGTTTTCACTGCTTGTAGCATACTCTCACATGTTTATATTCTCATTGAAATGAGAAATTATTATAAAAGTAAATGTGAAAGTTTGGAAAGATATGTTAGAAGGATCTGAAATGATGAACTTATCTGCTCAGGGGGGTGGGGTGTTTTTTGGTATGTTTTGTTGGGGTATTTTTCTTCTTTTTACCATCAAAGTGTTTGATTGTTCATTGTCACTACATTCAGATGTTTGGTGATGAAGCTCTCTACTCCACGTCCCTGTTCTCTTGTATCATTTTACAGGCTGGAAACTATGCCATGGGGTAATAAAGGGAACTTCTTGAGATTTTGTAGCACAGCTGTGTTGGGATCCTGTTTCATCCCTTGTTATGCTTTTCTCTTTAAAGTCTAGAAATACCTGGATATATAGAAATTACTCTAAAATTACTGAGGGTGTCAAATCTCCATCCTTCCTTCCTGCCAGGCAGTATCTCTGTGCTCTGCTTGCCTTCATGCACCCTGGATGCCCAGAGCTGGAGCTGTGCAGGCTGGAGACAACTTGCGAGAGGCTTGGATTTTGTGTTCTCATCCCTTTCTGATTAGAAAGTGGTCCCACAAAGTGCCAAGTGTTTCTTTCAGGGGAGAGTAGTTCTTCAGGTGCCTTGATTTCTTCACTCTTTGCTCTTTTGAGTTGTTGTAGCAGGTGGGATTGGATGCCTCAGTGATTTTGTTCTTAGTAACCAGAGTCTTATAGTCTAATATGAAAACATCAATGGCAATTTGATGCTGCCAAGAAGTGCTCCAGAGAGGACATGAGTTTTGAGTTACCAGTTTTGGAGCAGAAGTTGGGTGTGGGGTTTTCAACAGTGGAAACTCTTTCAGAGTTGCGGGGTTGACTTAGAGCTGTTGTGATAAATGGGAGTGCAAATTGAAGTTGTAGTAAACACTGTATGGCCTTTCTCTCATTCCCAATTGGGAGAGATCTGGGAATAAAAAGATCAAATGTATGCTTTGACCAGGCAGCATTTTTCTACCAACTGAAATTATTTTGTTCTGTTCTATTCTGTGGTGGGTCAGGAGAAACTTGCTTAGAGGAGAGTTTTGAAAACTCCGGTTTGTTGGCATTGGGCCTGCTGTCCCCTTTCTACTGCTGTACCTTACTCTCCCTCATCCTTCAGCTCCTCCCTGCTATGTTTCTGTCCCATCTGCCTCTGGGGGCAAGATTTTCCTTGGTTGCCCCACATATGTAGCTCCTTATCCCCATGGTATACTTACTTGATGATGATGATGATGAGCAGGCATCAGGAGAAGGGCTTGTACTGTGAGCTCAGCCATCTGTCCAGGAGGTGCAGGCTGGATTTCTGGGCTAAGCAGCAGATATGGCATCTCTGCTTCTGACAGCTCCAAGACATGGTTCTGTGGGCTGTGTGCTACTCATTGATCCTGTCGATTAGATCAGTTTCGTGCCTCTCTCATTCACAGCCGGTGGTGTATCATTGTGTTCCAAAGTAACAGGCCCTTCAGAAAGAAAGGTCTTTGGTCTGTGTCAGCCAGAGAAGTTTTGGCCAAATATGGCTGGCTGGTTTAATATGACCTTTTTCATGGTCTAGGGAGTCTTATGCAAGGCCAGTGGTACAGCAGAGATAGAATGGTTCCATTATGTAAATGACATTAATTTCGGTGAATTAGCAGGTTTTTGAGAACATTTCCAAGCAGTATGGGTGGTACCTTTTCAAAACACTCCTGTTAATGTGGTGAGGTGTTTTGCCAATTATGAGGCCTAGCATAAAGGACACAGCCAGCATAAAGATGAACCAATAATCAAATTGTATTTGATACAAAAGGGTCAGTACATGGGTGAGCACTGGCGGTACAAACAAGTCAGTCAGATTATACATAATTGACATCAATCCCACTGACCCCAACAATGACACCACACAACCAACAATGGGTGGAATAAATGCCAAAATGCAGTCTCCCATAAAAGGGACAGGAGACAACTGAGTCAACAAACCAAATACATAAGACCAAGGAAGCCACATACTGAATTGCTACACAGCCTGCATTTAGAAAGGCCAGACCTGACTGGAGCCCAGTTCCAGGGAGTCAGGAGGTCCTTCCCCAACAGGAAACTCTGCAAAGCACACCCACCTCACAGACAAACACTGCCCCTTCCTGCAAGTGGTCCCAACTTTTATCTCCAAGTGGGACACCTGACCTTTGTTTACTTAATGCTGGACACCTGGGGCTCATTTACCTAATGGCTCTCCCTGCAAGGCCAGCTGCACCTTGGAGGGAAGCTTAAAGGTAACTCACCCCCCCTTTGTGAAGGGCTGTGGGAATCACCCATATGTCAACCTTAATTTGGGGCTTGGGGTTGAAACCCCAGCATTTCATGAGGTCAGCGTAAGTAGTGTGCTATCAGTAAAAAGCCCCATTTTGAAGCTTCTTCCATTCTGTCCCCCTTCCCTCCACTATTATTTGTTTATAAAGGTCATGCTTAAGGACTTGACTTGGTTAGTACTAACTGAATATTTTGTTCGTGATGTGGATTTCTGCTTTGTTTGGGGGTTATTAGTTGCAGAGAGGTGGGAGGCAAAAGGATGAAGAGGTTTTCTTGTCTGTGAGTTGACATAGGATTTTGTGGAGTACCTTGTGTCTCTGCCAGGTCTGTGCTCTTTTCCACTTACTTTGGGGAACCTGGAGAGCTTAGGACATTTCTTGGTTTTACAAAGTTCTTTTTGGTGTGTGTTGTTTTAGTTGGTGTGTGTGTTTTGTTTTGTTTTTTCCTCCATGGTGACAGAGCTAACTGAGGACACCAATTACAAACTGTGCAAATGTAAAGTAATTTCTATCTTAAGGAAATGTGCTGTGGTACAGCGTGGTCTGGAGGCAGGGCTGGTGGGGTGTGCATAGGATTCATGGGATGCTGGAAGCAAATACTTTTGGTCATGTATCCCTCATACTTTGGTGGGCTTATGCCATGGTATGATGGTAAATAACTTTCTCTGAGCTCACTAGTTTACAGGTTGGGTTCTAGTCAATATTTGCCTACTGTAGAACCACAGCGAGTGTCAGCCCTGCTATTTATGGTATAGTGTGCTATTGCCAGAATTGTTACCTCCTTTTTACAGACTTAATGAAATCGGATGACTTAGATTTGCTATTTGGTTGCATCTGCATTTGTGAGTATAGGACCGTGGGGAAAAAAATAATAGGAAATAAAATTGCAGTGTTATCTTATCCTACCAGGAATACAAGATGTGCAAAGGATAAATATCCTGTTGCTTGCCAGTGTTAGAGGGCACTCATTATGCCTTAAGTAAAGATTAACCCATTCAAGCCTGGGTTAATGCTACGCTATCCTGACACTCCAAAATGATCAGAAGGTCGGTTTTTACTCTGTTAGGTCATTTCTTGAAAAAATTTAATCACAGATGTCAGTGTGTAGTCAACAGTTGCTCTGTTTGATTTGGGTGTGTCAACATGCTGCGGGTTTTGCTCTCAGATACCTGTTTTATATTTATCTTTTCCCACCTATCAAGGGCGAAAGAGTGTAATATTGTACAACAAACTCAACAGGGAGAGTGGTGCTAAGTTCTCCCAGCTTTTGGAGAAAGGGTACATCTTTGTGTGAAGAATAGGACCCTTAATTTTTAGTAAAGACTATTAAGAGTTGAAAGCTCTCATCTTTCTTTAGTAGAAAATCAAAGGGGATAAAAGATTGATTAAAAAATAGAAACATTGACATAATTTTAAAGCAGCCTTAGTGCTATTAAAATTTTTTTGTATATGTATAGATAATACATTTTTATTTTCAGAACTCGGGTGTCTCACACACTCCAAAATATACAGCTAAAATAACACATATATAATGCTTTAAAACACCTTTATTTGTGACACAGCAGCTGTGTTTCTGGCAACAAATATCTTATTGTTGCACCAAATCCAATTAAAAATCCACAAGATAAAATTCTGTCCTCACAGGACAAAAAACACAGGGTGGAGTTAAGCAATCTTCCTGTTCTGATGCAGACATGCCAAGCTTTCTTCTGTATGAAACTTTGAATCGATTCACCTTAAAAGGTATTAGGATCTCTGTGAAGATTATAAACCTAATTTGGGATTTGTCTTCCTTAGAATCCCCGGTGAAATATGATTATGTAAATAGTCAAAAGGAAGTGTATGTACTTCTGTGTAAATTTCCAAAACCAACCCCAAAACAACCTGAACAAAGGAGTGTGGGGCTGAGATGCTGCTAGTGGTGGCTCCCTTCTGTGAAGCCCTACTAAAGTGCCTTAACCCACTTCCAGGTAGGTCAGGCAGTCTTAGAACAAACTCTGTGCTTTTTTTTTTTTTTTTTTTTTTTTTAAAATCTCTTCTGGCTTCCCTAGACCAGCTGCAAGGGACTCAGGACTGCCCTAAGATGTCTTTTCCCAGCATTAAAGGCATTGTTCTAGTACATCCAAGTTCTTTGTGTTCAAGATGAAAGCTATCAAAGAGAGCAGCCTTTCTTCTTCTCTCTTTCTTCCGCAGTTTTCAAGTACTCAGTGACCATGTGCCCTGATCTACAAGTACTTTATCTACATGGGTATCCTATTTACAGCTGCATAGAAGATTCTCCCCCAGTTTGAGAATCTGAACACAGAGAGTTCTGTAAGGAAAAACTGCTTCAGAAAATGCTTATTTCACTGGCAGCATGACAGGAAAGGAAAAGGAAAGGAAACAAATGGAAAGTCTAATTGCCTAATGGCCTTGTGGTGGGGAAGGGTTTTCTATGCTTAGTGGCTGGTTGTTGCTTTAAAAAAGCAACCAAACAAAAAAAAGCAACAGAAATTTTCCATTTAATTGCAATTTCATTATTTTGTTTTCATGTGATGACTTACAGAAATCCACATGTAATTTTGTTAAGCAGCTTTAAAACTCTTAAGATATTTGATGGCTGTCTTCTATCCTTGAAATAGATTCTCATCAGGATGGGGTTAGGGTTTTTGTCCATTTGTTTTCTCATTTTGTGCTGTCCTTTTGGTAGCATCTAGAAGTTCTGGAGTCTGAAATTCTCATAAAGTTGTGACATGTCTGTCACTGAAATCCGGGATAAAAATAACTTATTGACACCAGTGTGATGCATATAAGCAGACACTTCTTTATTGATGGCCGGACGTGTAGGGGAGCACTCTCACTAACAACACGTGCCAAGCGCCAGAATCGTACACCTTATATAGAACTTACTCTTACATATTCATTAAGTCTTCATACATAAGCACAAAACTTCCAAGAAATCATTAACATATTCTCCTCCTATTTCCGAATCTGCGCAGTAAAGGTTAGAAATGTCTAGAAATGGGTCTGGGGCTTAATGTGAGTAGGTGGTCCATCAGTCGGTGGTCGCGATCTCCCCCTGCCAGAATTACCTTTTGCTTAAGGACACAGTTTTCTTGGCAGGTACCTGCAAGCTGTTACGGTTACTTCCCTCAGTTCCCATTAATCCTGGACCTTGACAACTACTTGCATTCTTCTAGTCCTATGTATGTATTATAAATCAGTTTACAAATTACCTTGTGTTTTGTTACCTAGGTTCTAACCGTTCCCATTAAACAATCCCTTCGGCCTTGGTACAGGGCTGTATAGGGAATTTTAGAGTAGCAGTCGGTTGCTAGATTCACAATACAATAAATGTATAATGATTTTTACTAAAATATCCCTTAACTCTATACTTATATTAAAATCAAACACAATTTAATTTCAGTTGATAATAAAATCAGTAATATTTCCCCCCTTTGAAAGTGTTGAAAATCATTTCAATACTTTTATACTTATATTCATTTTCATCTTTGAAGCAAAATTTGTCTTACCAGATGATGGTGGTGGCAGGCTGTAGTCTGGTGGCATAGTGGGTACTTCTCTCATAATTCTGTGATGTATTGCAAGCCTATTAGTAAACTGTTTTTTAAGACAGGCATTCACCAACATAATCATCAAAAGGACAAAAATAGAGTTTTGATTAGGGATTTAAGCCAAGAGTTTTAAGTTCCATCCTAATCCACTAAAAATTTTTCTTAGCCAATCTTCTGATATATCTTCTTGAATTTTTTCTGTTTCTTTTTCGATTTTCCTAACAGATCTAAGTCATGTTCTACATCCTGTGTAACATTTGGGATATGAATGCAGCAATGATCCAATCTGTCTTTGAGATATCCACACACTCCATGTTCCTTTAACAGAAGCATGTCTAATGCCATCTGGTTTTGAAGTGTCATTCGGGAAGTTGCCTGTAATTGGATGTTTAATTCTTTAAATCCTTTTCTTGTAACATTGGCCAATTTTTCCACTTGTCCTGTTAAGTGATGAAGTCATTTTCTATTCCTATAGGACACTATTGGGTTTAAAAAAGCCATATCTGCTGCTTGGCCCCAAAAGTCCAGCCAATTTTTACTCCTGTTGATGGTTCATTCCAGGTGTCATCATCTGTTTCAAACCTTTTAATTCGTTGTAATTTTAAATTTTCCAGGGAGCGCTTGAATGGTGATTTCTTCCAAATTGGACACAATGTTGGCAGGCCTAAAGTAATTTGTTTCACCTTACCATCTACTGGTAAGTGGGTTGTCCAGGTGCTATAACTTAATGCCCAAACTAAATGTCCTGGACTTTGAATGGTAGATTTCTTACAACTAGAAAAGTAACCTCTTCTGGCTGTACAGATGCTAGTCATGGTGAGGTTATTATAAAAACCTCATCAATAACAACCAAATTTTAAAGCAGCTGCCAAATGAGGAATTCTTTGAATTATTAAGTCTACACTGCTGCAATCATATACCTTTTCACATTTCCACCATGGTACTACATGTTCCTTTTCTAGTCGGGTAGTGCCTTTATCTACTATCGAGGGAAGGATTGCAAACACTCTATTAATCTAGGTACCATCCCAAGTAAAACATCAAGGGGTTCTGGCCATGTACTGAAATCGTGAGAATATGGACATAGACCATAGAGTCCCACTGTGCCTGTTTTTGGGTACTTTGCCCAGTTTTGTTACACTGCCATTCCATGATGCTCCTGCTCACATTGTTTTTAATTTGTTCATCATATGAACACCATCCTAGATTAGGGTTTGGGCCTCCTGGGAGGAGAACTCGATCCAAAGCACTAGGTTGAGACCCTGTTACAAAGTCATAATTTAGTAGTTTTTCGCAGTCTGATTTTTTTTCCTGGTGATTTCCATTGTTTCCTAATAACTTTCACTTGTTTATACCATTGAATCACTGGCTTTTGTTTGCAATAAGTGGTCTCGTTTTTGTGTTCTAGATAGGTCAAATTCATAGTTAAGATTCCCCGAGGAATAGATTCACCTACTGCTCTTGGTATTGGTAAACTGGCAGTAATTTACGTAACGTTCTGCAAGTTGGCAAATCCCTTAATCAATAATAACATCAAATTTTCTTCAGGCATTCCTTTAGGAATGTTAATTATTGTTCTGTATTCGATTGAGTTTTGTTCCTAGACATCAAATCAACCCATGATCTCACCAGCGTCACTTTCCAAGCCAATATAAGGGGAACAATCACAAATTTATATAAAATATTAGACATGTTTCAGAGATAGTTTTAAAGTCTTTGGATCACAGCTTATAATTTTCCATGGAGTAGGTGCTTTTTTTTTTTTTTTTCCACTCGGGTATAGTGTATCCAAGCATCTGATTCTGCAATCTTGGTAGCCGTGAAGGTGGTTAACAGTATCTGGAAAGGTCCCTTCCAGCGTTCCTGCAGAGGAAACCATTCGGAAATCCACGTTTTCACATAGACATCATCTCCTGGTTGAAAATCATGCACTGGAGCTTCTAAGGGATCATGGTCTATTCCACGCTACTGCACTTTGAATCACAGTCAGAGTTTTTCCTAAAGAAAGCAAATAGTTATACACATCCTGTTTTCCTTTTACATGCATGTTTGGATTTGGTTCTAGGGACTGATAAGGTTTTCCATACAGTAATTCATAAGGACTGACTGAGATTCTACTCTTTGGTTGTACTCTGATTCATAATAATGCCAATGGAAATGCTTGAGGCCATTTAAAATTGGTCTCTTGACAGATATTATTTATTTGCATTTATAAAGTCTGGTTCATTCTTTCTACTTTTCCACTGGATTGTGGCCTTCATGGAGTATGCAAATCCCAAGGGATACCCAAGAATTTTGCTAACATTTTGGACTATTTCTGCGACAAAGTGTGGACCTCTGTCAGACAAAATTCCAATAGGAACTCCAAATCTTGGAATTATTTCTCGTAATAACCACTTTACTACTTCATTGGCTTGTGTGGTGCGACAGGGAAAAGCTTCTGGCCATCCTCTAAAAGTATCAGCCCTCACCAGAATGTATTGGTACCCATT